ACCCTCAACCATAAACCCTACATCTTAAACCCTGGACAAATCTATCAACCCTCAACCCTAATCCCTAAACCTTAAACCCTAAACCCTCAACCCTAAACCCTCAACCCTAAACCCTGATCCCTAGACCCTAAACCCTAAACCCTAAACCCTAAACCCTAGAGCCTCCTCGCGGGAGACAGGGCCAAGGAGTCGATCCTGCCCTCGCCGCACCAGCTGGGACACGAAGGCCTCATGCCCCGGGGGTTTGGGGGAGGGGTTTAGGGTTTAGGGTTTAGGGTTTAGGGTTTAGGGTTTAGGGTGTAGGGTTAGGGATTCAAGATTTAGGTTGCGCATCCTGCAATTGAGCAATCTTCGAGGGCTCTCCGTGTATGAAGTTTAGGGTTTAGGGTCTCCGGTTTGAGGCCCCAGGGCGCATGAGGGGTTGCTTTCTTGGGGGAATTCTTGGCTGAGTTCTGAGCCCCTCCTAAAAGTTTAACTTTTGGCTCCTTATTGTAGTTGCTTCAAAAACCCCAAAAGGTTAATGTCCCAAGAGCCAGTCAGAAGGGCCACCGCATGAGGGTAGGGTTTCGGAAGCTTTTCGTGGGAGACCTTTCTACTGTAAGGCTCCCATCCTAAGAAGCAAACGTTCAGGGGACCCTTATCTTTTCACTTAGCAACAGCACCTGCATCATGAGTCCCGAGAGCTATAAGCAACCAAGCCTTGCACGCACTCTGTGGCTATTTCCCCCAAAATGGAATACCCCGAATACACCCCACAACACTATAATCCTGATAGTAGGAATCCCCAAAAGCGGTACCCTTCTCTTCGGACACCCTCACGAGGGCTCAAGGCATTGAAAAGATAGCAAGCGGAACGGATCAAGTTTCAGAACAGTGGAAACAAGGGTGGTTGGCTTGCAACGACCGTTCGCCCCAAGAAGACTTTGGCTGTCAAACCCTAAACCCTAAACCCTAAACCCTAAACCCTAAACCCTAAATCTCTGCAGCTGAAGATGTAGACATTCCCGGACTGAAACCATCCTGAAATGTTGTAGGGCTTCAAGTATTTTAAGAATACCTGCTCACCTACTTACATTGGAGCCGAAAGTCTGTAGCCCCCTAAACCCGAAACCCTAAACCCTACTTTGGGCTATCGGGGTGATTCCTGGCGCCTCTGCTGATTCCTTCTCGTCGATGGGTGGCAGAGTGACCTAGGCTCGCGAAATCTTTGCTTGCAGAGTTCGGGGTAGTGTAGGGTTAGGGCTTTTATTAGGGAACATTCCTTGCAGTATTTCAGGATCCCGAGCATCATGTAGGGACTCTCCCTCGGGGCCGGCGGCCAGGGGTCCAAGGTCAGGTGCCTACCGCCCCGTACACGGCTTGAAGATCGTGAGCCGAGCCCACCTTCTTCCCCAAACCCTAAACCCTAAACCCTAAACCCTAAACTCTAAACCTCAACCCTAAACCCTAAACCCTAACCCTACACCCGAACCCCTAAACCCTAAACCCTCCACCCCCTAGGAGCCGGCATAGGCGACTCGAGTAATTGGAAAACAAAAAATGACAAGGGGGGTCAACATATCGGAAATCTCCAGCTTACAGGGACTCCGAAAGTACCTTAAGCATCTGGGTTTGGGGTTTAGGGTTTAAGGATCTTTCTGTACTTGAGAGGCCCAGGTAGCTGGAAACTTCTGGCCTGGGGATATATGTTCAGCTCTTCAAATGAAGGTTGCCCCTCAAGCCTAAACCCCAAACCGTAACGCTTAATCCTTGCAAACGCTAACTTTCAAAAATGAGGCGCCTTCTTTGTGTCCCTGTCATTACACGCCCCTTGCCCAAAACTGATTTCTCTTTGGAGAACTGACCATCTAGGCAAAACTTAGACTGGGACATTGTAGGTCTCTACTCAGCCGGGGTTTAGGGCTTGCAGGGTTTGTAGAGTGTAGGGTTTAAGCGTTTGGAATTGAGGGTTTAGGGTCGAATTCAGGAACGACTTTTACGTACCTTTGCAGGGTTCAGGGTTGGTGGCTGGCGTCGCTGTGTAAGGGATCCGGATGCGTGAAAGCATTTTGGGCTGCTGCGCTCAACGCAAACTCCTAAACCCCAAAACCCTAAATCAAAACCCTAAACCCTAGAACCTTAAGCCTCAGGCTCACGGAAGAGGGCTCCCAATCCAACTCCCAGCCAGGCCCTGAATGAATCCTCAAGCCGGCCTAGAGTAACCTATACCCACAGAAAACGGAATGCAGCGCGAGTATTCGTGGATTGCACGTCTCGAGGGTTTATAGGTTTAGAGTTTAAGTACACCAACCCTACAGAAGCCTATAAGCCTTCCTAACCACCTTGGGTCAGACTGGCTGGTTCTTAGTAGGGAATGAGGGAATTCGGGCCCTACATAGACCCTATTACATAGGGCCCTAAGTCGCTCATTCCAAACCCTAAACCCTAAACCCTAAACCCTAAACCCTAAACCCTAAACCCTAAACCCTAAACCCTAAACCCTAAACCGGGGTCAGAAGCCGTTTTCTGAGGCTGGGCCCTTCCATCTTCCATGTGCAGTCTCAGCTTGCGGCTGTACAGGCACCAATCCGAGACACTGTAGGGCTGAGTTTATGTTTTGGGGTTCAGGGTCTATAGGGTTTCGGATAGGGTTTAGGATTTAGGATTTAGGGTTTAGGGTTTGGGTTTAGGGTTTGGATGTGAACAAACACACAGGTTGCATAAGCTTTCAAAGTGCGCGCGTGCATATTTGGGGGGGGGGGGGGGGGGGGGGGGGGGGGGGGGGGAGTGCTCCAGAGGGTTCGGGTTGTAAGGCTCTAGCAAGCAAGCCTGACGCCTTTGCTTTCCACCCCACTTCGCGAGGAAGCAGCTTTTTCAAGCTTTGCCTCCTGCCCGATCCGGCAAGAAGCCTGGCGATACTGGCCAAGCTGCACGTCGGTCGACGTGCAGCCACCCTTGCTTGGGATTGAGGCTCAATGTCGATTTAGGGTTTAGGGTTGAGGGTTTAGGGGTTAGGGTTCAGGGTTTCCCAAACAAGCTGTTGCAATTCCGTGGCTGGCACACGAGGCTTCTGCTGCGTTTGGGCTGTGGGAAGAATCGAATTCCAGCATGCTCATGTGGCCAGGCCGGCAGGGCCATCGCCCGTGAGAGCACCAATACTGCATCAACGAGTTCAACCTACAACAAACGCCAGAGCTCTTTACCGATCAAACTTTTCTGTGAACATGGGTTTCAGAGCTCTGAATACACCCTCCACCCTTCTCCCCAACGCCTAGACCAACAGACCTTGTGGGCTTCGTGGGGCAGTCGTAGCTGGTGATGGACAGCATGGCAACGTTTCACTTGGGTTATGGCCGTATCTGGGGTTGTCTTACAACCCTACTTAGAACTATTCACAACCCTTGCAAGGCCGACCCTAAACCCTAAACCCTAAACCCTAAACCCTAAACCCTAAACCCTAAACCCTAAACCCTAAACCCTAAACCCTAATCCATGCACCTAAGGCCCACGGCGACTACCCCACCACCTGGCTCGTATCCCCCGGGTCCGCCGGGCCCACATCGTCTCAAAAAGGGCCCTGGCAGACCGAAGCTGTTCACCTCCCAGAAACCCTGAGGCTCTACTTAGGGTTTAGGGTTTAGGGTTTAGGGTTTAGGGTTTAGGGTTTAGGGTTTAGGGTTTAGGGTTTAGGGTTTAGGGTTTAGGGTTAACCCCCCCAATTGTAACTGTACTTCTAACCCAATTCTAACCCTATTAGGGTACTTATAAGGGCCTTGTAAGTGGGTTCTAACTGCACTTACGCCCTGAACCTCCAAGTAAGGACTCTAATTTTATACGGCTTTGGGCCCAAAAGCCCTTATAAAGGTGTTTCGGGCTATTTTGAGCCTAAGGGAAGCGTTCTTAGTTTCTGAATACCCGGGCCCCAGAAAGGTTAAGCTTTTGTATGTTACAGGAGTACATATCCCAAAAAGGTTGAAGGTCAACTACCCAACCCCTATCAGTTTCGTAAGTTTGCGCAGCTCAAGGGGCTTTGGGGCTGTTTAGGGCTAGAGTTGTCAGGGCTTAAGGTCACAGAGTAGCTAGCCTTGGAATTCAGAGCCCAGGGATATCCCCTTAGAAGGCCCGGGCGCAGTGCCCTGAGATATCCTGAGAGCTGATGTGCCTGAATCTGCGTAGGGCTTAGGGTTTAGAGCGTAAGGCTTAGGGTTTCGGGCTTAGGGTTTAGGGTTTAGGGTTAGGGCCCTCGAAGTCAGTAGGAACGACTTCGCATCTCAAGTGTACCTTCTTTAGCTAAGTGGGGCCCTGATGGCTCGCATTTGAAGCCTGTGTGTTGGGATGTTCCCCCCTGATACTAACAGTCCCCAAAAGGGATGCTATAATCCCTGTTATAATCCCCATTAAGGAGCTGTTAGTATGAGGGCGGAGCATCCCAACCTATCAGGAAGGAAAAGAACCCTAAATCCCTCAGAACACTATAAACCCTCTAAACACTAGGAACGCTAATAAACCCTATAACCCCCCCCAAAAAAAAGAGGAGCCCAAAAAATCCTAAAAAAACCTGTATATAAACAGTGGTGCCCTAACCCGGAAAGGGCCTTCGGCCCTTCAAGGTTGAAGTTGATTGAGGCACTGGGAGGCACCAGCAGAAGTCGCCTTGCAAGCGAGATCGTCTTGCATGAGCCTCAGAGGTTAAACTTAAAGCCTACAACCTACACCCTAAACCCTAAACTCTACACATTATAAACTCTACACCCTAAACCCTAAACCCGAAACCTGAAACATCCAGCTGGAACCCGACACGACGCCCAACCAGCCTATGCTGCAGAACCATGGGCCGCAAGGATGCGACTAGCTGAACATATTTCCACCCATGCATCCTACATAGTCGCTTCTTTCTATACAGAGTATATGGGTAGAACTCATCTATGTGCATACAGCAATAACTGTACATGGTAGACCTTGCCGTCCTTGATGATGCAAGACAGGACCCAACCGCCAAGACAACCGACCGAGCGCTTTCCTCACTTGGTGATTTGGCGAAGAGAACGGATAGGCTGGCCATCGAAGGTCCTGGCGATTTTTTTAACATACCCTATAATATACCCTATAATATACCCCATAATATACCCTATAATATACCCTATAATATACCCTATAATACACCCTATAAGACCTGTGCAAGACATCGCCTGACGGACATTGTCCCGAGCCCTAAGCTCTAGGGCAAAGAAAGCAAAAATGCACCTTAGCAAGGTGCACGTCCTATGTGCAAGGGTCAATACCCGCCCCGCACCCTTTTTGGTTCTTGGGGATAACCCTCCTCAACTCCAGAGCCTCATAAGCTCTGCAGCCCTTTCAAACCCTAAACCCTAAACCCTATACCCTATACCCTATACCCTAAACCCTAAACCCTAAACCGAACCCTAAATCCTAAACCCTAAACCATACATACCCTGAACCCAAAAAACCCTAAGCCCTACAAACCTTATAAACCGTATGCACCCGATAAAACCCATAAACCCTATAAACCCCATAAAACCTGTGAACCCTAGAAACCCTGAACCCTAAACCCTACAAACCCTGAACCCTGCACCCTAAATCCTACAAACCCTACGAACCCTACAAACCCTAAACCCTACAAACCCTAAACCTAAACCCTAAACCCTCTAAACCCTCTAAACCCTAAACCCTATAAACCCTTAACCCCAAGCCCTACAAACCCTATAAACCCTATAAGCCCTTCAAACCCTATAAACCCTATAAACCCGATAAGCCCCATAAAACCCATAAATCCTGTAAACCTGTAAACCCTATAAAAGCTATGAACCCTGTAAACCCTGCAAACCCTGAACCCTAAATCCTGAATCCTACACCCTCCAAACCCTGAACCCTAAATCCCCCGCGTCCTCGTGCATGACGTCCGGTCATCCCAGTGGTCTGTCGGCTTGTTTGGGGTTTAGGGTTTAGGGTTTAGGGTTTGGGGTTTAGGGTTTAGGGTTTGGGGTTTGGGGACCCAACGTAATCTCAGATGCCCCAAGAATGCGGAACATGTAGCGACTAAACCACCTTGATGCGATGAACGGAGAGGGTACCCAAATAGTGGAGACTCTGCAGTTGCAGAGTAACTACATTGAGGTTCATGTGGCGGGCATGTAGGATTGATAGTTTTAGGGTTTAGGGTTTAGGGTTTCTGGTTTCGGGTTTAGGGTCTAGTATGTATATGGGTAGTTCTCTTGGGTCGGGTCCCTTTTGGGGTCCTTCTTATCAGGGTGCCGTACTACATATAGGACTCATGGAGGGGCAACTACCCATTGGGTTTAGGGTTTAGGGCTTTTGACTGGGATGTAGGGTGTTTGGGCTTTAGGGAACTCTATCGGCAACCTAAATTAAACCCTAAACCCTAAACCCTTACTAAACCCTAAACCCTAAACCCTAAACCCTAAACCCTAAACCCTAAACCCTAAACCCTAAACCCTAAACCCTAAACCCTAAACCCTAAACCCTAGGCCCTAAACCCTAAACCCTAAACCCTAAGCCCCAAACCCAAACCCCAAACCCTAAACCCTAACAGGCTTCCGCCTTTCTCTGGCGTCATTGCCACGCGCGGCGGCCGGCGTCGCTCGGGCGTCACCAGCACAGGCCCCGAAGCTGTCGTCAAGGCCTGGTTTCGGGTTTAGGGTTTAGGGTTTAGGGGTGCAGAGTTTACGGGTTTAAGGCTTAGGGCTGTGCTTGGAGATTCATGGGTGCTGTAAAGTTATAAGTAGGCTAACTGATCGGTTTGACCTTGTTTCGGGTACATATAACCCTACCTAAAACCAACCATGAAACTCCCAGTGTGCTTGGATAGCTGTAAGGCTATAAGCCATAGTGTTCTAGGTAAAGGGAGCTAAATGCAGCTCGTACTGGCACTAGCCATGCTCGGGGATGTCACAGCAACTACATAAAAAATCACCAAAAACCTTGCAGTACGGATCAAGGGATGAAGGGAGGGCTCAGGGATTTGGGAGCTCCTTTTTTGTTTAAGAGCTTGAGGTAGATGGGTGCTGCGAGGATTCAGATCCCTGGGGGCGCAGTTACGGCGCTTCAGGAGTCCGGAAATACCTTGCTCCGCCTTCACGCTCGCCGTGGGAACCATCTGGCCGACGCCCGCCAATGCCTCCCAGGGAAGGACGTCCCTAAACCCTAAACCCAAAACCCTAAACCCTAAACCCTAAACCCAAATCCCTAAACCCTGAACCCTATACATCGCATCAGAAGGTCTGACCCTTCAAACAAGCCCTTCAGCAGTCCACCCTATCATCCTAAACCCCCACATCCTAGACCCACATGTCCCAAAGACGTCGCGTAGCGATTCTTCGTAGACTTTAGACCTCAAGTCGGAGCAAAGCCTAACTCCCTCAATGACCATTGCAAACCAAACACCAAAAGGCCTTCCATGCAACCCCCCAACCCGAAACCCTACCCCTGACCCCCGCCCCCCCCCAATGTAGTAGCCCTAAACCCTAAACCCTGAACCCTGTACCCGAACCCCCCCCCCCCCCCCTCCCCTCCCCCCTCCCCTCCCCCTCCCCCCGCGGAAGAAAGAAGAGCAGGAGCCTTCCGCAAACTCCGGTGGTTCATCTGGCGAAGCTCGTGAAGCTGCTGCTGCCCCGCATAGGACTCGAGAATCTCCTTGGTTCCGGGGGTCTAGGGTTTAGGGTTTATATAGTGTGGGTTTGGGGTTTAGGGTTTAGGGTTTAGGGTTTAGGGTTTAGGGTTTAGGGTTTAAGATCCCAGGCTGAGAATGTTTGATGGGCTATAGGTGAGGTTAGAAGCTGGGTTTGCAATAGGTTTGGGGTTTGGGGTTGGGGCAAGGGCCGCTATAAATGAGGCTAGACGTCGGGTAACTCAGGTTCAAACTGGCTGTGTAGGATCCAGCATTTAGGGTTTCTGGTGCAGGCCGAGTTGTTGTGAGAAGGGTAGTTACAGCGCTAGACGATTGCAACCTTGTTTGGGCTTTCTCCAACATGTCAGTGCCTATCAGTTGAACCTGGTAATGCGTCCGCAACACAGCACCCGAAACCCCGCCAAAACGGTTCTTATAGTATTCTAAAGTGGCCATAAGGGAACACTATTAGCGATTATTCCGACCCCTATAGTAAACCCCTAAACCCCAGATCCTACGAACGCCCAAACTTCTCGCCGCTGCCCCTGAACCAGCAAGTGCAACACCGGGGCAGGATCCAAAGCCCTAAACTGGCCATGAATCCTAAACCCTACACTCTAAACCCCAAACCCTAAACCCTATAGGCCTCAAGGGCTTGTTGACCCACAAGTGCTCAGAGCTCCACCACCCCCAGTCAGAAAGTCGGCGTATGAGGACGAAGCTTCAGATTACTTCAAGAACCCCAAAACCTACCTGTTTTAGTAGGCTCCTATTCTAAACACCCTTATAGGATTCTTAGGTAACCTACAATGTTTGGCTCCTCTTCTAAACACCCCTTATGAGATTCTTAGGTAACCTACCAAAACCTACCTGTTTTAGTAGGCTCCTGTTCTAAACACCCCTTATAGGATTCATGGGTAACCCACCAACAAAAAAGGTAGGTTTTGGGTTCTGAAGGTAGTGCTTGGGGTTTGGAAGCGGCTGAAGTGCGCCAAGGTGCCATCTGTTGGCTGCTCAGGGGAGTTCCAGAACGGTAGCGCCTGAAGCTTTTATTATTACTATTATTATTTAGCATTATGATTATTACTAATTATTACTATTCTTTTTATTATTATTGTTATGATTATGATTATTATTACTTACTTATTCTTATGCTACTTTTTTCCCTGGGGGGGGGGGGGGGGGAGGGGGTAGGGTAAAGTGAGCAAACTCCGCGAAAGGGCAGCCGCGGAAACCGGCAACGGCAGGGTTTGGGGTTTGGGGTTTAGGGTTTAAAAGGGTTTAGGGTTTAGGGCTAGGGTTTAGGGTTTAGGGCTACTACATCCTATAAGCCCTTAAATTGCCCTTTGCAGGGTTCATGATGGGAATTCTAAGGCCTAATAGCCCATCCTGGTCGGGCTACTACATCACACTCCCTTGCCTGGATCGCAAGGATGTGGCCACAGAGCCTTAACGCCCAGTGCAAAGAACAAGTCCAATGCATGAGAACACTTGAGAGTAATCGGTATGGGTAGTTCTCTAAAATAGGCTCCTTATTCTGGTCCTCTTTAGTGTAATTTCTACATGGTCACTTCTCTATAACATATGGCCCCTTTTGGGGCCCTTATTTTCAGGTGGCCCCTCTTATTTAGCGTACTCAAAAAGGGACCCCAATTCAAGGAACTGACCATATACCCAGGAGAAATTTCGGCTGAGCCCCTCAAAAACAGGGAATGGCATATGGAAATAAACATCCCCCTAACATGAAAAAACACATTTCGAGTTTCTATTCGGGGGGGGGGGGGGGGGCGTTTAATAATGGGGGGAAACAATTATAATCCCGATTAAGGACTGCTAGTATAAGGGGGAACATCCCAATTAATACTGATCATACTAGCAATAAAGAAATGGAAGGATAAACGCGAATACGAATACGAATAAGAATAGTTCATAGCAACAGCAGTATTAGTTCATAACCACACAAGTAACACTGAAAAAAGAACATGGTAAAACCATATGACATAAATAATAAGCTCTGGGGCGCCAAATCCTAACACCTATCCCTATCAACTACAGTTGAGAAATGTCGCCCACAGTGGCTGGGCACTCTGCAGCCTGCGAGAAATACGCTAAGCCCGCCAAGCCGTTGACCCCTCTGATAAACTTGGTAGCCCAGTAAGCATCTCATGATAGCCCAGTAAGCATCTTATGATAAGGGCACCCTTTTTGGGGTAGGCCATTTTAGAAAGGAACCTTGAGCCAAGACACGGGAAGAGGGTACCACTGGGCTACCAGATAAAGGCTCCTAAACACGATCCTCTTAAACCCAACGAAGGACAAATAGCAAAACATCCGAAGGGCCTCAACCCCTAAGCCCTATGAGACACCAAAAAGGACACCCCAATAGATACACAAATATGTCTGAGGAACCCTAGATACATACACCAATCTATACACAAAGGCCTTCGTATACAAGGTTTTTGGGCTTCGGTGAGTCGAACAGTATGCCGTTCAGGGAGCTGGCAACCGTCTCCGATGGGCTCGGTGGGTGATCCGACGGAGCACGCGAAACCCTGTCCTTGCTCCACGAGAAGATCTGCGCCACCTTCAAGAGCCCATGGTGAACCCTTATATTAGCCCTGAGCCCTGAACCCTAAACCCTTCACTCGCTTAAAGGGCGTAGGGCTCGAATTTTGAGAGCTGATGGTTTGAGGAATTCGGCTTTTCGACTTCTGCTATCGCCCACACTATCCTCCCGAAGCCCTTCATGCAGCACAGCATACCTTCGTTTAACGTCGGGAACTGCCCTATTGCCGGGCTTCCTTCCCCAACCTGTTTGTGGGAGGAGGCGGGAAAGGGCGCGGCGAAATGCACGTGAAAAAGCGTACAACATTGAACTAAATGCCCCAAATTCCCGACACTAGGATCCCAAACCCGCTATACCTCCAGCCCCCCCAAAACCTCAAACCCCCAACCCTAAACCCTAAACCCTGAACCCTAAACCCCAAACCCTAAACCCTAAACCTCGGAGGGGCCGCCTGGGTCAAGTGCTTTGCATGCCTGTCACGGAGATGGGAGCGGTCTGCCGGGCTTTCGAAGAGGCGCTTGGGAGTCACTTCCTCAGTTGCTTGCAGATTTCATGGGGCCCTGTGCCACCCCTAATCCATTTTAGGGTTTAGGGTTTAGGGTTTAGGGTTTGGGGTTTGGGGTTTAGGAGATAGGGTTGCGGGTTTAGGGGTTGGGATTGCGGGCTTTCGAGCTTAGGGCCTTATAGTTAAATGCTCAAGGGTGCATCTGCGCGGCGTTCAGCATGCTCTCAGCGTCAACTTCTGGCTGATCCTTTCCGACGCCCTGTTCCTCAGGACTGTCTTTCGGGTTTAGGGTCTGGGGTTTAGAGTTTAGGGTTTAGGGGTTAGGTTGAGGGTTGAGGGTTGAGGGTTGAGAGCTGCTTCCCGAGAAAACATGATTTGTCAGGAGTTTATCGGGCCTGCTACAGTTTAACCAGGGCTTTTCAGGCTACCCAAACCCCCAAACAACCCCCTCAGCACCACATCTAAGAGCAGCTTATGTACCCCGTGAACGTGAAAAAAAGAGTTCAGGATATGCTTTCTTAAGGGTATACAAGGTGCCCTTAACTCCCTGAACCCTAACACAAAAACCTAAAACCTAAACCCTGAACCCAAAACCCAAAACCCAAGACCCGAAACCCTAGACCCTAAATCCTAAACCCTAAACCTAAACCCTAAATCCTAAACCCTAAACCCTAAACCCTAAATCCTAAACCCTAAACCCTAAACCCTAAAACCCTAAAACCCTAAACCCTAAAAACCCTAACCCAAGACCACCTAACGCGGCCACCAAGGCACCTCTTGATGCTGGACTGTCTCCGAGCAGGACTTCGGGGAGGAGAGGGGCGCCTAGCCAAGCTTTCAGTGCAGGGGTTTGGGGTTTAATTAGGGTTCAGGAGTGTAGGGTTTAGGGTTTAGGGTTTAGGGTTTAGGGTTTAGGGTTTAGGGTTTAGGGTTTAGGGTTTAGGGTTTAGGGTTTAGGGGTTTAGGAACTTAAGGGGGCCCGGGTTCGGGATGTAGAGGTGTCTTCCGGAGTGCTGGTCAAGGGGTGCCAAGCGTGCCAGGCAAAAGCCCGAAAGCATATAGAACGGTAGGGTTTGGGGTTTGGGGTTTGGGGTTTAGGGCTTAGGGCTTAGGGTTTAGGGTTAGGGTTTAGGGTTTAGGGTTTAGGGTTTAGGGTTTAGGGTTTAGGGTTTAGGGTTTAGGGTTTAGGGTTTAGGGTTTAGGGTTTAGGGTTTAGGGTTTAGGGTTTCAGAATATTCGTAATCGCAAGCAGAATGGGAATAATCATCATTAATGGGATATACATTCTAGTCTAAGCAAGATGGACACATCATGAGAATCAGAATACTCATAGTAATAATGACCTTCATAATGAAACACATAGTCTAACCCATCATCGTCATACGTCCTGCGAATATAGTGGACTCCAACTCCCGAGCAAGGCACAGATATCGAAGAGTAGTTGCTTTCTCTTGATGCTTACCCTTGAGGTTTAGGGTTTAGGGTTTAGGGTTTAGGGTCTAGGGGGTTTTGTAGTCTGCGGTCTGTAGTGACGAGGGCTTGGCAGGCTTTGAGGCTGAGAGGTTTAGGGCCGAGGGAATTTCGCGCCTCCTGCAACAGACATGGCGACAGCTGGCCTGGCAGCAAAACACCGAAGGTCTCTTGGGATCTGAGGAAACCCCCCCACTTCTACCACCTCCAAAAAACGGAAATACATGCAGCATGAATGCATGTTTCCCTTCTTCAGGGTGTGTTTGAAATACATAACATAAATAACATAATATAACATAAAATGACATAACACAACAAAACACAACAAAATATCATAACGTGACACAACATAACATAACATAACATAACATAACACAACACAACATAACATAACACAAACAATCAAATAATAATCAAATATAAATACAAATATGAATATAAGTATAAATACAAATACAAATATAAATGTAAACATAAATTTGAATATAAATATAAATAAACAAATAAATAAATAAATATATATATATATATATTACCCCATGTGCCTATGCTTGTTTATGTGATATATATATATATATATATGTATGTATTGATTTTTTCTTTGTTGCTCAAAGCCACAAACCTGCATTGTGATTTAAAGGCACAGGGTGCAAAGCATTATCGTTAAGCATCGAGCGATGGCCTTGAGCGGGAGTCGGGCCACCGGATGCAAGGCAGGATCCCTTGCCGACTGGCGGTCTTGGGTCTTCAGGGCTTGGGACTTTAGGGTTTAGGGTTTAGGGGGTTTCGAGGCTTTGGGGTTTAGGGGGTTTCGGGCCTTTGTTTAGTTTAGGGGGTTTCGGGGCTTTGGGGTCTAGGGTTCAGGAGGTTTCGGGTCTTTCCGGGGCAGAGCATTAGGTTTTAGGCATTGAGGTCTTTTGGGAACCCGAAAACCCTCTTGCCTCAAGCTTCCACAAATGCGCCTCAAATTTTCGGGTTTGAGTCTACAGCCTTTGTAATATCGTGAATTGGGGTGCGGTGTTTGGCGTTTGGGGTGTAGGGCGCTTTTGAAGTGAACTTGAGTAACCTGTAGTGCTCTTAAAAGGGCGCTCTCCACCAACGATTGGATCACATTGCCTTTTTTTGAGGCTGTGAAGGTACTGGAAATTCGCAAAACATGCCCTAAACCCAAGTTCAACCCTCAAGCCTACGCCCTAAACCCTAAGCCTAAACCCAAGACCCCTAAGCCCTATGCTGAACCCTAACAACCTTCGGCTGCTAGAGCTCAGCAGGAGTAACCTAGGAATAGAAAGGGTACCCTTTTTGGTTTTAAGGGGATTATAAGGAAACCCCTAAGCCCGAAAAAAGGGGGAAATAAGGGCCTACTCCGGGTCCTACTTGAAGGCTCATGAATCCCTACAAGTAGGGTTACTATGAATCCCCTAAATCAGGTGATAACCATAGTTACCCTACTGATAGCCCTGCTTTTAGGTACCCATAAACCTCCAAGTAGGCATTCCGATGCCTGCGCGGCGAGGCTGTAGGCCGCGATGCGCAAGCCCAACTCTTCGGAGATCAGGCTGGAGCGAACCTGCCATCTGAAAGATGCCCTAAAGCCTATGAACCCTATAAAGCCTCTCTATAAACCCTAGACGGTTTAGGGTTAAGGGTTTAGGGTTTAGGGTTTTGGGGTTTTGGGGTTTAGGGTTCCCCTATACACCACTGGGTTTATAGGGTGTATAAAGTTTATAGAGAGGGTTTATAGGGTTTATGGGCTTTAGGGCACCCTATAAACCCTATAAACCGTGTATGCCCGAAACCCATGGTGAAGGGTTCAGGGCTTCGTGCTCAGGCTGTAGATTAGCCCATATACCCTCAGGTTCAAAAGACATGTGCCACTTTTCGTTCGTGGCATATGTCGATTTTTTCTGTTGAAGAGTATACGGGTATTGCCCAAAATAGGCGTACCCCTCTTTATACCCCATATAGAATAGAATCCCTCAAAGGGACCCCCCCCACCCCCCCCCCCCCCCCCCCCCCCCCCAAAAAAAAAAAAAAAAAAAAAAGGATGGAGTGCCCTACCACCCTGAAAGCACGCTTTGAAAGGCGACCATGGTCTTGGCAGCCCAGCAACCATAAAGTCATAAGGGGACCCTTTCTAGGGTTGGTTCCTGTATAAGGGGACCTAAACTTCAACAAGGGCAACAGGGTACCAGTGGACTATCAAGTCGGCATTTGCCTGTCTGATCTCTGAAGCACTTTGCGGGGCTTCCCGCGCGCAAGGGGTGCTGACACAGAGCTTTCGGGCTTTCTATATTTCCAACATACGTTCTTGGTGCCTTATTCTCTTCGGGACCCTTGTAACCCACATAGAAATGTTCTCGAAAACTTCGAATTTGAGATCGGCTTTCGGGTTTTCAGGGCCCAAGAATAAGCCGCATGAAGCCACGAACTCAACCCGGCGCCTGATGGAGGAGGCTCTCTGAGGATTGTGGTTCCATCCTCTGAAGATGAAGCGATGCCTCTGAGAATGCAAGCCACTTGCCCTGGCTGCTTCTTGGAGCACGAATGCCTTGAGAGACAACGCCTTCGGCGGTTTAGGGTTTAGGGTTTAGGGTTTAGGGTTCAGGGTTTAGGGTTCAGAGTTTAGGGTTTAGGGTTTCGGGTTTAGGGCACGGGAGAAAGAAGCGCTAGCTCCAACCTCCACACCCTTATACCCTTCCCGTGGCACATATGAGCATGTCCCAAAATAGGGGTAACCCTTTTATACCCCAAATAGTATGGAGGACCCCCTATGCCCTATAAAAGGGTACACCTATCATCGGAAACCCCCATATTAGCTCATCATCCGTCTGTGCTTGTGCGAAAGTGAATTGAAACCCTAAACCCCTGAATCCCTAAACCCTAAAACCCTAAACCCTAAACCCTAAACCCCTAAACCATAAACCCTAAAACCCTAAACCCTAGCATCCCTGGACCCTCAAAACTCAAGGATCCATATCATGTGGTATAAGCTTCGGCCCTGAAGCTACTGGTAATAGGAACCCCTTTGTTCTGGCTGAAACAAGAGTTAGTATTATTACTATTATTGTTATTATTATTATTATTATTTATTTCTATATAAACTATTTTTCATTAACTATTTATAGTTTGCGTAAGTCTATACGTAATGTGCACGTGGAAGGTTAGGGAAAGCTAATGCAGCCCTAAGCCCTGCTGTATGCTAACCTCAGTGGGGCTCTCTCCATCCCCCGCTCTCTGCTCCCACCATATGGGAACATAAACACAATTGCATGTATATAAGCATCTCTGACTACGTGTCGCTCTCTACATATCTAGGGCCCCTTCTGGTGGTCCTATTCACAAGGGTGCCGTGGGATATACGGGGCCCCTGCGACGTCGTACTGCTCCACGTTCTTGAACGCCCGAATGTGGGGAAGTTCCTGGCTGTTATGCTGTCGGGTCTAGGGGGCTGCCTCGAAAGCCTCAACCCTAAGCCCTAAAAGCCTTGAGTCAACTTCACTGCCGAGAGAAAGGTCACTATAGCTCATGAAATCCTGAACCCTGACCCTAAACCCTCCTAGCTGCACCTTTATCGACTCGAATCCTTAAAGTTACAGTGAAACCAGATCCCTTTATACCCTAAACGTCGCAAAGACCACAAGATGTGCACTGCCCAAAGACCTAGGAGGCTTGAAGCCTCGTAGGCACAAAGGCTCCCCTGTCCCCTAGTGACTACGATTTTCTGAAGAACCCCAATAATCCACAAACATACTCCCTATATTGCTCATGCAGAATACCTTTAGTAGTTTAGGGGGGGGGGGGGTCTTAAGCAAATAATTACTAGATTAGGGAACACTCCCCAAGTTAAAATTCGGATCTGAATATAGGGGGCTTCAAGATCCTGAGGGACGATTAGTATTGACCCCCGAAGAGTAGGATCCCGTGGTAATATATGGATCAAAGTAAGGTACAGTGAGGTACCCCTATGTTCGGAGCCCCCCCCCCCCCCCCAATCATATGAGTATGACGTCAGGAATGTTTAAAAAAGGCCGGTGGCCTCTTTATCTGTTGCCCTTATACCTTACATTTGCCCGAATAAGAACCCCCCCCCCCCCTACAAAACAGAAGCCCTACTTAAAGAGACCACCAACCAATAGAAGGAATGTTCCTTGATCGTTGCGGAAAAACCGCGGCGTCAGGCGCCTCCCCGGGCTTCTTGACCAGGGTGACAAGAAGATGAAGACCTGCAGGGTCGAGGGTGCAGAGGCCTTGAAGACGGGTTTAGGGTTTAGGGTTTAGGGTTTAGGGTTTAGGGTCTAGGGTTTAGGGTCTAGGGTTTAGGGTTTAGGGATGCTAGGATCCTAAATGCACAAACCGAAAAACGGACAAAGGACCTGCATTGGAGTATGTTGGGTCGGTTTACGGTGTTAGGGGTGTGGAGGTTGCCTTCTTGGTAGGTCTGATTGTGCAGGACACGGAAAGGACTGTCATTTAGAGAAGGTCAAGGTTTAGTGTTTAGGGTTTGGGCTTATAGTTTCCAAGGACTCGCTGAGACTGACAATAACTCTGAGCCCTAAACCACAAACCCAAGATCCCAAATACGCAGCCCTTGTCTGGAAGGATTCTAACATCAGCCCCTGAACCCTGAACCCTAAACCCTAAGCCCTAACCCCTAAACCCTAACCCTAGACCCTAAACCCTAAACCCTAAACCCTAACCGCCCAACAGGCCTCATAATACAAGAGGCAACAAAATCACCGCCAAGGAACGACCCCTTAACTAGGCTTCGACAGCGCTCCCTTACAACAAAAAAAAGCGAGTCTTCATAATTAATAGGGATTATAGGGTAATGCCTAATTATTCAGGATTGTTATTAGAAGGGGGAACATCCCCCAAACCCTAAACCCAAACCCAAAACCAAAACCCTAAACCCCACTCTGCCTTTGTGTCGGTTGAGCAGCCGTTCAAGCAGTCGCCTGCAAACACGAAGGCATATGGGCAACGACTTAAAACAGCATGGCCGAAGAAGCGTCCCATGCATTTTGACTAGACCCAAGAGTAGCCTAGAAATAAGAAGGGAACCAAACAAAAAAAAAAACAATAAGGGCCCACGCTGGGTCAGGTAGGCGAACTTGGGGGGGGTCCTTTTATAATTAAGATTTCAGCCAGGAGCCAGATGCGTCAAAAGCCGAAACTAATTTAATGTTTAAAACTTAGGCACCCTAAACCCTAAACCCCAAACCCTAACCCCCCCCAATGCTTGCACAGCCCGACATGCTCTTATATGCTAGGCGTCAGAACGAGAATCTACAAGCTATGAACCCTGGCTCTTGTCAGCCAGAGATAAACTACGGCTTGTCGTATCATGTAAACTCTCATGTATTTCGTTTCGTTCTGCTAGCGTTTCTGATCTCAAAAACATACAGAATGGGAATTTCTCTTAGTTATTGTTCCTTTAGGGCAGGGGTATAGGATATATCGGGCCCTAAACCCTAAACCCTGACCCTACCAGGTTGCCCAGTAACCTAGGTTTAAAAAGGGTGCCCAATGTGCTTAAACGGCTCGAAAACGGGAATAAGGGTACGACTGGGCAGCCTAGCCTGCACCACCTGAGTAAAAGAGAGGCTCCCCACACGCCCCTAAAGTCCCACCTGGGAGCGTCACGAGTCAGAACTTCGGCGGCGTCAGTGAGCACCTGCCCGGCAGGGCTTACGGCTTAGGAGTTTGCCGATGCTAAGACCCCGATAGACCCTAAATCCCCTGAACCCTCTCAACCCCTACATCCCGTAAACCCCAAAAGGCCCGAAAATCCTTGAACCGAAAACCTGAACCAGACCCTGAATGCAGGGATCCTATATTCCCCTTAGAACCTTCATAAAAAATATTGTTAATATCCTCTTGGTTTTTATATGAACAACAAATAAATCCCAAGGGGAAAAAGGATTACATATGTTCTAGATTCCAGGCATCTGGACAAGTCTGAGGGCGCTGGCCAACAGGCCCCGGACGCCCGCCGGCAGGCAGCTCAACCAACTTGCAATCGCCTGAGTTCATCTTGGGGAGGGGGGGGGGGTTTTAGGGTTTAGGGTTTAGCGTTTAGGGCTTAGGGTTCAGGGTTTAGGGTTTAGGGTTGCTACATGGGCCTTTCTTAGGGGGTGAATCCTGGAACGCGCGTGTACCACATATCTTCGTATACTCTGCTCTGTAGGGTAAGGGGCCATGCAGTCGCCTGGCGGAGGTGTGGAGTTTGGGCTAACGATCGGTTTAATTAGGGTTTAGGGTTTAGGGTTTCGGGTTTAGGGTTTAGGGCTTAGGGTTTGCGGCGTGGGGTCCTGTGCTCACCCATGGGGTGTTGGGAGGTTCGCCGAAACTGCGAACTACGTACGTGAAGGTTCATGGTTGTTTGGTTGAAACATAAGGATTGCACCAAAAGAAACCTACTACCCACGAACACCCCCTAGGAGTAGGGGTAGGGTCAATCTCTGGATTAGCTTCCCCCCATGGTACAGGGTGGCGCAGCAAGGGTGCTGCCGCCACTGCTATTACTGCACCCACGTGCGCTCCACTTAGACTTTATGCTGGAATAGGGGCCAAGTCTGTCCTGGGGGGTCGAGTCATCAACACGCAGCTTGGGCCCTGCCAACGTGCGAAGTACCGTCCTACGAGCTCCCAGTCTGCCTAACTCTCAGTCTGACAACCCTAGTGGAGTAAGAATCTTGGTCCCTGAGTCCTAAACCCTAGCCCCAAACCCCAAACCCCAAACCCTAAACCCTAAACCCTAAACTCTAAGCCCGGAGGTGCGCGAGAAAAAGGGCCCGGCTAACTCGGCTTCGCTCGCCTGCGCAAGGACCCTTAGGGTAGGGCCAGGGTTTAACCCTACTTTGGAGTGGACGCTGGAAGAAAGGTATGCTTTGAAAGTATCTGAGGTATACTTAGCTATTATAGGCATTCCGGAGTATCATTTGCTATGATAGGAATTCCGGAACCAAAAAAGTACTAAAGCATGGTACTCCAAAGGCCAAGATAATGGCCTTCAGCGCAGTCAGCAGACCAACCTCTGAGAGCCTTTTGAGTTGATATAAGGTTTGGGGTTTGGTTCGGGGTTTGAAGTTCAGGGCTTCCTTCGGTTTCGGGTTTGGGCCTCTTAGATTCAGGGTTCAGGGATCAACTTGAGGCTTTTAGGGCTTACCCGATGGCTCTCTAAGGACTCTATTTGGCTTTCGGGCCCACCTAAGACTATTATTCTGGCATTTGTACCAACCCCCCCTGGTTCTTGGTAGGGAATGAGGGAATTCAGGGCTCTATAGATACCCTTTAAGGGAACATTTAGGGCCAGTCCCTACTAAGAACCAGCCAAAATTTTCCAGCCAGGGGGTTAGGGCTTGCCGAAGTTGTTTGTCTGCCCGACCCCATCAAGTCCGCATTCCCTGCCTCTTCCCTCCTTGAACCGTAAAACCCCAAACCTGTGCTAGATTAGTCTCTCTCTCTCTCTCTCTGTCACTTCGGGTGCCCATTGAAACGGTGGATCTTGTAGTACGGGGTACTCAAAACAGTGAACTGGCTACGTGTCAGTTGGCGATTTTCCCGATTAATGCTGAACACGGAAACACGCAAACCCTTCGACATCCTGAACCCTAAACCCTAAACCCTAAACCCTAAACCCTAAACCCGAAACCCTAAACCCGAAACCCTAAACCCGAACCCTAAACCCGAAACCCTAAACCCGAACCCTAAACCCGAATTAACTATCAAGAGTGGTGTCTTGCAAGTGAGTACACCTGCCTCGGCAGCAGCTGTGCCCCCTTCCGAAGTGGGTGGCTGGGGGTGTAGGGTTGGCTTGGGCCCGCTGCACTCCCTGAGAATCATAATGATGCAGCATTGCTTCAAATCTTTATGCGGGTTCTAGAAGGAGGAGGGGGGGGGGGGGCTTAGAGAGTCTTTCATTGTAAGGATTAGTGCTTAGAGAGTCTTATGAGGACGATGAACAACCGACGGCCCAATCCATTCGGAGTTGTGCTCTGTCAACAGGCGGCTGGTGACACTCCACAAAGGAGCGGTTTTTCAAAGCGAAGTAGACGTAGGCGATTTAGATAGAGAGCTGCCGGCGCACCTAGCACCTGAATGCTTAAACACCGTTGCTCCACGGAAACCTTCATCCACAAACTCACAGCCTAAACCCAAGAACCCTAAACCCGAATCACAAAAACCCTAGCCCTAAACCCTAAACCCTAAACCCTAAACCCTAAACCCTTTAAACCAAACACCGAGCATCAGAGCCAAGAGTGCCTCTGACATGCGCGGAAGCTGGGCGGCCTCAGGCACCCCGGCCCCCCGCCCCCAACCGCTGCAATCCTTAGGGGTTTAGGGTTTAGGGTTTAGGGGTTTAGGGTTTAGGGTTTAGGGTTTAGGGTTTATTGGGAAGGGGGGCGGGGGGGGGGGGGTCCGAAAATAGGGGTACCCTTTTGGGGGTTCCTATAACAACGATTCTACAATTTCGGGGTGATTTTAGGGTACCTCCTATTTTTGGAAATACCCGTATGTACGTATGTACGTATGTATGTGTATGTGTGTGTATGTGTGTATGTGTGTATGTGTGTATGTGTGTATGTGTGTATGTGTGTATGTGTGTATGTGTGTATGTGTGTATGTGTGTATGTGTGTATGTGTGTATGTGTGTTCAGAGAAAGAGAGGTAAACAACAGACCAAAACGATCACGAATAGACATCGGTTCATCGTGTATGGCTATTATTTTCGTGTTGTGTGCGTGCGCACGCGCGTGCAAGCCTGTGTCTGTGTCTCCCTGTGTCTCTGCCTGTCCGTGTGTAAGTGCTGTGAGTCCCTACAAAACTTAAAACCCTAGTTTGGAGTAGCATGGTATCTACAACCAAGAACCCCGTTCCCCCAGCGACCCAGGAGAAAAAAAAATGATTGTTTGCTTAATTGCAAAAAGATCGTCCTAAATGCGTCCGAGTAGGGCTACTGTTCTCTTTAAAGGGGTATGCCGGCTACTCCCGCCAAACCCCAACCAAACCCAAAGAAACCAAGAGAGGCCTCGTTCCTCCTGCGTGGTGCCGTCGTACCATCGCCGGACCAAGGCAACCTAAAAACAGATGCTACGCATTCAGCCCTAAACCCTAAACCCCTAACCCCGAACCCTAAACCCCTAAGCCCCAAACCCTAAACCCCAAAACCCTGAACCGAACCCTGAACCCAAAACCCCTAAACCAAACCCCTAAACCCCTAAACCCCTAAACCCTAAACCCCTAAACCCTAAACCCATAAACCCTAAACCCTAAACCCGGCAACCCAAGAATCTGCTATCAGCATCGATCGGACTAGGGCTTTGCAAGGGGTTTGAGGTGTTGCCTTGAGATTGGGGAGGGCTAGGCCCTAAACCCTAAACCCTCAACCTTTTACCTAAACCCGAAACCCCAACCCTAAACCCAAAACCCTCAACCCTAAACCCGAAACCCCAACCCTAAACCCAAAACCCTCAACCTTAACCTAAACCCTTAACCTAAACCCTTAACCCTCAACCCTAAACCCGAAACCCCAACCCTAAACCCTCTATTTGAAGACCTGGCAAGCGGCCTAAACCTTCAATCTATGTCGCGCGTTGGATGTCCGCCCACCCCCCACCCCTAATGAAAAGCTACCCTAAACCCTAAACCCTAAACCCTAAACCCTAAACCCTAAACCCTAAACCCTAAACCCTAAACCCTAAACCCTAAACCCTACCGGTTGGCTTTGGGGGTTTAGGGTGTAGGTCAGGGGCTTGGGGTTGACAGTTCCTGAGGGGTCGGTTTAGGGTTACTCGCGTGTCAAGAACCTGCAAAATCCTGAACCCTCAATCGTAGACCCTAAACCCTGAACCCCCAGTTCGCAAACCCCAAAATTCTCAGTCCCAGACCCTATCCCAGACCCTAAGCCCTAAGCCCTGAACCCTAACTCCCTAAACCCTAAACCCTAAACCCTAAACCCTAAACCCTAAGCCCTAAACCCTAAGCCCTAAGCCCTAAGCCCTAAGCCCTAAGCCCTAAGCCCTAAGCCCTAAGCCCTAAGCCCTAAGCCCTACCCGTCCATAGAGCTCCGACTCGAACTGCTTAATCCCTGCCTGCTGCTTTGCAGCTGCTCGCAGGCCCTGGCGAACTCGGAGTTTTATTGTTTAGGGCTTTAGGGTTAAGGGTTTAGGATTTAGGGTTTAGGGCAATTGGGTTTCCAGGGCTACTTTCATGGCCAAGATACGGCGTGTAATGGACACAGGTAGGTTCTACGAACCCTGAAGCCTAGACCCGAAGCCCCATCGCGCCCCAGAAGCCTCCAAGTAATCCGTACCAGCTGGGGGGCTGTTCTGAATTGCGCAATTGGGCACTGTTGTCACCCTCGGAGTATGACGCAATCGAGGCCTAAAAAAGGACTGACAACTCAAAGACCTCCCCCATCTAGGCTGGCAGGTTTGTTCCAGGTTTACCATTTGTCCTCAACCAAGGGAAATGCTCCTTACTTGGTGGTACACCCTAAACCCTAAACCCCAAACCACAAACCCTTAGACCCTAAACCCGAAACCCTATATGAACCCTACCTGTCCTTAAGGGTATGCAGGTAAGTCTAGGCTCAGGTAAGGAAAGGTTGGGGCGTGGGGGCGGGTGGACCGGAAAGGGCTTAAAGGGGCATTCGGGTTTAGGGCTTAGGGTTTAGCGTTTAGGGTTTAGGGTTTGGGGTTTAGGGTTTGTGGTTTTGGGTTTAGGGGCTTCTTGGGGACCCCAAGAACAACTTATAACCGGAACGCGATCCTGATCTACACATGTGCCAGCGCCTCCTCAAGGGCGCCCAAGACGCGGAGCTCTTGAACACCTTTCGGGATTGTACTTCTGCCCGAGTGGGTGTGTGCTTTTTGTTATTGGGGGGAGGGGGGGGGGGGGGGGGGTGTTTGGGGCTTAGTTAGGGTTTAGGGTTTGGAGTCTGAGGTTTAGGCCTTAGGCGAGGCTCATGCAAACCAACCTTCTATGGGCTGTAGAGCGCTTCTTAGGGATATTCAGGCACATGGCAATAGAAGTGCAAGCTGCTGCCAAGTCAGTAAGGCAACATGCAGGACAGCACAGGTTTGGTCTAGGGTTTAGGGTTCAGGGTTCAGGGTTTAGGGTTTAGGGTCTAGGGTTTAGGGTTTAGGGTTTGTGGTTTAGGGTTTAGGGTTTGGGGTTAGGGTTTAGGGTTGATATTGCAGTTTAGGGTTCAGGGTTTATGGAGCACCCTTAAGAAAGACAAGGGCTAGCAACTTCAAGAGGCAAGTTCTGGGTTGGCTGGTGCTCATATGGCGAAGTCCCAAAGGCTCCAATAGCCCAAGTTCTTAGGGAACAACCCTAAACCCTAAACCCCAACACATGGTCTTAAACGATCATCCTAGTATAACTACAGAAACTGGCATTGCCGGACCTCTGAGGGCAAAAGGCCTGTCGGAAGCCCAACCCCGGCGGTTCAGGGTTTAGGGTTTTGTCTCCTGGTGCCCTACTGAGCAAGTCCCTGCCGCTAGAGATCCTTGAGCATCGGGTGACAGGCGTTGCTTTGACATGTACCCAGCGCCTGAGGCTGGCGCTTCACCCCCTACCCCCCTGCGCGGAAGCACCCTAAACCCTAAACTGGCCCTAAACCCTAAACCCTATAAACCCTAAACCCGACACCCCAAATGCCAAAGCCTGGCCCTCCTGTCAGCAAACTCGTAAGCACTTGCCTAAAAGAACCTTTGCAACTTAATTCTTGGGTGTCTCAAACGTTGGAGGCACAGGTTTAGTCCAGGAGGGCCCGCAAAACCCTCAACAAATCTTCCCAAACATGATCCTCTTAAACCCAACAAGGCAAGATGCAAAATATCTCAAGAAACCCTTAAACCCTTAAACCCTTAAACCCTTAAACCCTTAAACCCTTAAACCCTTAAACCCTTAAACCCTTAAACCCTTAAACCCTTAAACCCTAAACCCTAAACCCTAAACCCTGAAACGCGCGTCGCCTGAGATCTCCGAGCGCAAGCGGTCCACAAAGTTGGTCCGATCGCTCGAGGAGCCGACGGAGCCTCCCCGGCTGCTGCACAAAGACCGAAATGAGGAGTAGGGTTTAGGGTTTAGGGTTTAGGGTTTAGGGTTTAGGGTTTAGGGTTTAGGGTTTAGGGTTTAGGGTTTAGGGTTTAGGGTTTAGGGTTTAGGGTTTAGGGTTTAGGGTTTAGGGTTTAGGGTTTAGGGTAAGTAGAAGCTCATAAACCTACGAATATGTACAAAGACAAAAAAAGATAGCAGAATAGAAATAAGTGAGTAAATGCAGTGATATCTCTATGTGTATGTGTGTATATATATGTACATATATATATATATGTGCATACAAGTGTACTTCTGCGTGAAAATAAAGCTATGTATCCTGAAAAGAAGGAAACCTACCATATTTAATGGAACATTTTCCTTCTAAGGATATCTCCATTCGGTTACTCTGTCGGTAGGGTCCATACTCAGCGAACTCAGTGGAATTCAAACAAAAAGTTTGGGGCTTGCGTGTTCGGCATTTCTGAGTGTATTCACGGACACTTTCAGTAACCCTTTATAGCCTGAGGAGTCTTGATTTGTATCTCTCACTCTACCTGTCCAGGCCATCCGTATGCTCAAACACACACCCTAGATTCGAAATCCTAAGCCCTAAGCCCTAAGCCAAAAGCCCTAAGCCCTAAGCCCTAAACCCTAAACCCTAAGCCCTACTGTAGAATCTAAGCACCAGCCTTACCCGCATGTTGTTTGTGATGATGTGCCTGTACGCAGAGTAAGTCCTAGACGCCAAATTACTTCCAGTCCAAGCATGGCAGTAGTTTGGCTTTTCCTAGAGAAACCTATATCGGGGTCTTCTCTAAATTGGGGTTACTACTAAAAGGCGGCCCCGAATATGTAGGGTACCAAAAGTTGTGAGAAGCCGATATATTGGGATGCCCCCCCCCCCCCCCGATTTTCATCCCTGTTCGTACAGGGGTGAACATCCCAATATCCCTTAAGCCAGGAAAGATACCAATAAGCAAGACTGAGGTGGGGTCTTCAACTACGGCTAGGGTGTGTGGCTCAGGACTCAGGACTCGACACCGGGGAAGGCTCGGATGTATATTAGTTCCTCAAGGTAGTCCTAAAACATGAAAGAAATTGTCCAAAAAAAACCTTAGATAAGTTCGCTTCTTGGTTGATTTGTGCGGGCGAGTAGGACGCTAAACCCTAAGCCTAAAACTAAACCCTAAACCCTAAACCCGCCTTGGCTCTCCGCTAGGCCCTCCGGTCGGGAGGAGTTCGGTGCCTGTGGAGACCATTTGTTGACCGATTGGGCTGTAACGTAAACCCTAAACCCTAAACCCTAAACCCTAAACCCTAAACCCTAAAAGCACCACTTGGAGGGTTTGGGGTCTAGGATTTAAGAGCTTCGGGTTTAGGGGGAGCCTCCTTGTTGGGGTCTTCTTGGAAGCCCTGTGGACTTGGTAAGTAGGGTGGGTAAGTTGGGTTCTATGAAAGGGTTTCTAGGGGTTACGAAGCAGACGTGCTAAGTCAAAAAGGCTTCCCCAAACCCAAAACCCAAAACCCTCAACCCTCAACCCTAAACCCTAAACCCTAATTCAAGCGATCTCAGGGTTACCTAGAGCAGCCGGAAATCTAGACGGTCAGTTCTCTAAACTGGGGTTTCTTTTGGGGTACCCGAAGCAATAGGGGTCGCCTTATAAGGACCCTAAGAGAATTTATTGTGAAATGACCATAGACACCCCTGAATATGTACTGTTGCTGATGCTACTACTGCTAGTTGGGGTGGGGGGAGGCCTTGTGCCCGGACCCCAAACAGCCCTCAACTACGCTAGACTTTGTAAACCCTAAGAAACTCTGGGGCCACGGCGCTGTAGGCGCGATCCATGGTGATGGGCCTCAACGCTGACCGATGAAGGCTTGTGGGATTTGGGGGTTTAGGGCCTTTGGGGGTTTGGGGGTTTGGCGGTGAAGGGTTTGGGGTTCAGGGTGTGAGGGCTTCAGGCTTTTGGGTCTTCAGGGTTGACGGCTTTGGGGTCTTAAGGTGTAAGGTTTTCGGGTTTTGCATGGTCGATTTAACCTATCAGCAAAAGACTGTAATCGAAACCACCCGTCACATTTAACTCCATGTGGGGCTTCGATAAAATTCTTCAGGGCTATATGGGCGGCACACTTGAGAAGGGTAAAGCCCTTGCATGGTATGGCCGAGGAGCCCTGGAAGCCCCTAAACCCTAAACCCTAAACCCTTAAACCCTAAACCCTAAACCCGTCTTTGTAAAGCCTGAGTCTTTGTCAAGCCGAACCCTTGAAACCTAAACCCCCCTAAACTCTAACTTAACATTGATCCCTGAACCCCCTCGGCCCTAAACCCTGAAACCCCTAGACCCTACACCCCTAAACCCTGCACCGTTAAACTCCCAAGCTCTTGAACCCCACAAATCCTGCAACCCATCATCGACCCTGGGTGCTCAGCACGCGAGAAGTTCTCGATAGCCCAGCAACCATATTATGATAAGGGTACCCTTGTTGGGGGGTTGGTGACTTTATAAGCGAAGCTTGAACCACAATGGGCTTTGGGTTTTGGGTTTGGGTTTTAGGGTTTAGGGTCTAGGGTTTAGGGTTTAGGGACCGCAAAGACGACAAAAGGGTACCACTGGGCTGCCCTAGACGCTGAACCCTAAACCCTAAACCCCTAAACCCTAAACGCTAAACCCTAAACCCTAAACCCTGGAGTTCCTCCCGAAGAGCTGAGGCCCGGGCGTTCGAATCTCTCCTCTTTTGGGGCCCTCTGGTTCCATCTCAGAAAGGAAGCAGTGCGGTTTAGGGTTTAGGGTTTAGGGTTTAGGGTTTAGGGTTTAGGGTTTAGGGTTTAGGGTTTAGGGTTTAGGGTTTAGGGTTTAGGGTTTAGGTGTTTAGGGGTTTAGGGGTTTAGGGTTTAGGGTTTAGGGTTTAGGGTTTAGGGTTTAGGGTTTAGGGTTTAGGGTTTAGGGTTTAGGGTTAGGCCTAGGGTTTAGGGTTGAGGGCTTAGGGGCCTTAGGGTCCGTAGGGGCTTTGGGGGTTCAAGGGCCAGGGTTTATAGGGGTTTGGGGGGCGTTTCAGGCGTTTAGAGCTTTAGGGGTTTCGGGTTGTCTCAATGCTACTTTGTTATTGATACTATTGTATAAGTGCAGAAGCACCTAAAGGTGAAAACAAAAAAAGCACAACGACAAACTGCAGTCTTCATCAAGTTGCACACTTCTCGTTCAAACACGTGTGCTCACAGAGGTACGCTTTCTCGTGGCACCAGTGACAGGGACGCCAGAAACCCTCAACTCATAACTCCCACAAAGCCCTAAAGCCCCTAGAGCCCCTAGAACCCGTAACCCAACACTCTCGACCCCCAGCAGCCGCTAAGGCCCTTTGCCCCTAAACCTGTACACTCTAAAGCACAATGCCTAAACCCCAAAAAAACCCAAACCCGAATTTAGACCCTAAGCCCCTAAGCCCCCTAAACTCTAAGCCCAAGCCCCCAAACCCCCAAACCCTAGAAACCCTAAACGCTAAACCCCAAAGCCCAAAGCGCCCAAAACCCTAAACCACAAAACCCTAAAGCCCAAAACCCCTCAAAACCCCAAGCCCCCAAAACCATAAACCTCAAAACCCTAAACCCCAACCCCCCCCCCCCCCCCCAAAAAAAAAAAAAAAAAAAACACCAAACCCCCGAAACCCTAAACCCCGAAACCCTGAACCCTTTGAGTGCTGAGCGCACTGAGTGGATTGGCTTCCAAGATGCGAAGCTTGACTCCGAAACTGCCACGAGGGGTGAATGGTTTAGGGTTTAGGGTTTAGGGTTTAGGGTTTGGGGTTTGGGGTTTGGGGTTTTGGGGTTTAGGGGGTTTCGGGTTTAGGGTTTAGGGCTTGGGGGGTTTTGGGGTTTAGGGCCTTAGGGGGTTTGTAGGGTTGGACTCCTGCTCCAGGGTCGTGGGCTGACAGACCATACTCGTAGTACCTGTCTCTAGATACATATATAGGTATATATATATATATATGCGCCGTATGTATATATTATATCTCTCTCTTCTCTCAGCACTCCAGGTGTTTACTCCAGGTGCTTGCAGAGGACCGAGGGTGCAGAGGTTGAGACGTCTCGCTCTTTTGACGTCATCTCTGTCTCTCTCTCTCTCTCTCTCTCGCTTGCTCGTTTGTGCTTCGTTTAAGTCTGTGTCTCTCTCTCCCTCTCCCTCTCTCGCTCTCTCTGCTTCCTCTCTGTCCCTTATTCTTCTTCTTCGCTCCCTCATGGCTCACTCGTTCGCTGCGGGCTGCTGCTTCTTCTCCAACATCCAAGTGCTCTCTCGCTTGTTATCCTCTCCATTTCCTGGGCAGCAGGATCTCTTAGTTGTTGAGTTCATAGGCCCCTAAAAAGTGTACACGTTCAGTTCTATAGGGGATTATAGTATCCCAAAAAGTGTAAAGTGTACTCGCTCAGCTACTAAGATCTTCATGAGTTCGTAAAGCCATGAGGCCCTGCGACAGGCGAGCTTGCTGAGAGCTTCAGATCTTGGATGGTTTCGGGATTTTGGGGGGCGTAGGTTTGAGATGTGCCCCGTTATACTAACAGTCCTTAATAGGGATGCCAATCGGGGGTACTTTAATCCCTATTAAGGACTGTGAGTATAAGGGGCCCCAGGCGTAGGGCTTCAGCGCTTCGGGCTTCTTGATCGCAATGGATGTCTTTAGGTCAACTCCCCAGCCTAAACCCTAAACCCCCAAACCCTAAACCCTAATTAATTCAACCCCCAGCCCCTAAACCCTAAATCCTAATTCAACCCTCAAACCCTAGACCCCAAACCCCTAAACCTAGATCTCTACAACCGAAAACCCCAAAACCCCTAAACCCCAAAGCCCGCGGGAGCCGTGCGGCCTGCATGATGCGGCTGGGCAGCATGCTGGAAAGGAGAAGCGTTTCCGGCCTCATCTGAAACCCTAAACCCTAAACCCTGAACCCTGAACCTAAACCCTGTACCCGTAACCCTAAACCCCAAGGACTTGGTTCCGCTTTTGTTTTGGCTCATGGCCTACGGCCCTACTATTTTCTTAAGAACTCCACCCCCCCCCCCCCCCAAAAAAAAAAAAAAAAAACTAAAAAAAAACTTCCATATAAGGGCAATTTAGGGAGAGTTATCTGTCATTTACTTGGGGGCTCTTAAGCAAATGGTAGGTGCCCTTTTTGGTTTAACAGGGATTTGAAGGGAACCTAAGAATCTGGGCCTACTCTGGGTCCTAAACCCTAAACCTAGACCCTAAACCCTAAACCCTAAACCCTAAACCCACCTTCAACCCCTGTGGTGAACTTCTAGGATGGCTCTTACAAACCTCAGAAAAATCGTTCTGAACATGAGCCTCTTAAACCCAATACGGGATAATGGGTTTAGGGTTTAGGGTTTAGGGTTTAGGGTTTAGGGTTTAGGGTTTAGGGACACAGTGTCCCCAGGGCCTGCCGAGACTTGTCGGGTCGTTACCTGTGCCCCAGGCTCTCGTGGCACAGCCTCCTCCACCACGCTGGCCCGGCGCATCTCGGTGCGGTAGACCTGCACCGATCTCGTGTTCTGGAGTGTAGGGTTAGAGGGTTAAGGGGTTTAGGGGTTTAGGGGTTTGGGGTTTAGGGTTTAGGGTTTAGGGCTTAGGGCTTAGATTTAGGGTTTAGGGCACACTTTCCTCTCTCTCATATGCCGAGACTCTAAACCCTAAACCAGGTCAAGGCCACAACCCGAAACCCTCAGCCTCCAGCCTCCAGCTACGGACCAGTCGCTTGTAGTCCTAAACCCTAAACCCACCCTAAACCCTAAACCCTAAACCCTAAACCCTAAACCCTAAACCCTAAACCCTAAACCTTAAACCCTAAACCCCGAACCCTCAAGCCATGGAAGCCGAAACCTCAGAAACCCGCCCAAAAGTGGCGTATCTTAGGGACCTAAATGATTGGGATAGGGTTTCGGGAGTTGTTATAGTATACTTAAAGGTTTAGGGTTTAGGGTTTAGGGTTTAGGGTTTAGGGTTTAGGGTTTAGGGTTTAGGGTTTAGGGTTTAGGGTTTAGGGTTTTAGGTTTAGGACTAAGGGCCCATATTTCCTACCCTACCCTGAAGAAGGACATGTACCAATGCTAGGTCCCTTTGACTTGTGTTACAGCTACATACCCCAAACCCTCAAACCTTCTAAACCCACAAACCCTTCAACGCACTCAAACCCCTAAAACAGTTGCATAGACCCTAAACCCGGAAACCCCATAACCCTAAAACTCCAAACAGTTGAACCCCAATTAAAACAGTCAAAACCCTAAACCCTACAGCCTCAAGCATGATGCAAAAAACAAATAAAGCCTCAAACCCTCAGACCCCAAAGCCCATGAACCCGAAACCCTAAGCCCTAAAACCCTGAAACCCTGAAACCCCTATTTAGCCTAAAGCCCTAAAACCACCCTAAAACCCAAAGCCCTTTGTGAATTGTGCCCGCCTGACCAGCATTGCGGTTCATTCGAACCCAGCGTGGATACGGATGTCTGGCCTGTTTGGTTTCGAAGGGCAGATCAGAGCTTAGGGCTTAGGGGTTTAGTGGTTCAGGGGTTTAGGGTTTAGCGCTTGGGGTTGAAGGGTTAAGGGCTAAGGGTGGAGGGTTAAGGGCTTTCGGACTTAAGGTTGGGCTGCTTTCTTAAGCTTTACGTGTGGTGCGGGCAAGGGGGGGGGGGGGTAGGTAGTGACCAAGGCTGTGAGAATCTAGGTCCCCAAGGAAGTCATCAACAGATGTGGTGATCCGTGGGCTCCGCATCATCCACCCCCCATCTTGAACCCCGAAGAGACTGAGCACCAACAGTACTGTTGGGCAGCAGAGCCTGACTCCCGAACCCAAAGCCGATCAGCCCTAAACCCTAAACCCTAAACCCTAAACCCTAAACCCTAAACCTGTGTCGAGCCCAGACTCATGACGGTAAAGCTGTGCCTGCTTGCTGCTGTATCGTGGGAACGGAGCCGGACACGTTGGAAGCCCCTAAAGTACCCTAATGAGGTTATAACTTGGGTTTAGGCTTAGGGTTCAGGGCTCAAAGTACAATTAGAATTGGGTTCATGACTACCTTATCCTCCAAGTAAGCCCCGGTTGGGTTTGGGGACTAGCGATATGGAGTTTAGGGTTTAGGGTTTAAAGTTGTTTTAGGGTTTAGGGTTTAAAGGTGAATGAGTTTTAGGGAGGGCTTTGGGTTGCAAGGGGCTATAGGGCAGAGGGTTTTAGGCTCCAGCCGGGATGTTGGCAATTCAGGCTTTAGGACTTAGGGGGTCTGGGTGCTCCCAACACGACGCCTCCAGGTAATCGCCAGCACGCAGGTTGGAGGGTATGAGTCCGCCAGGAATCTGCCGCGCAAAGAGTTGGGAGTTCTTCCGGGGTGCTTTCAAAGTCGGGTAATAACTACACTTTGAATTATTGAGGGTTATACGTACAGGCTTTCGGAAACCGTACTCCGTAGACTTGCTGCGAAAAGCCCTCCTCCACACCCCCTGGCCCTAATTCAACGCGTG